ATTCCAATGCCTCCATCGTCTTCCTGCAAACCAGTCTTGGTTTGAAGCTGCCCAAATCAATAATACTAGTAGGTCTATTACACCCAAATCCAGAACTTCTCCTTTCAGCATTAAAGCTCAAGCTGATGCTAAGAAAGAAGACATAGTTATTATCGGAGCAGGGATTGCCGGCCTCGCCACCGCCGTTTCACTTCAAAGGTTCTCTTTAATTCTATTCGAAAATAAAATAGCACAAGTGGACAACTGCTCGTGATCTGTACAATGTAAAGTACTTATGATTGCTATTGTTTTTGTCTGAGATTCTTTTTTGCTTTTTTTTTGGGGTGAGTAGGCTTGGAATTAAGTCCAGGGTACTTGAGCAGGCTGAGTCCTTGCGAACTGGAGGAACTTCACTAACCTTGTTCAAGAATGGATGGAGTGTGTTGGATGCAATTGGAGTTGGGAATGAACTCAGGACCCAATTTCTTGAAATTCAAGGGTATATTTATTTGCATCACTTGATACTTGTATACATACCTTCTTAAGAACTTTTGCAAATGTGTCATTTCTGTTGTATATTGAATGAACGATTCACTATTCAGCAATGCAATAACAAACCATGAAGACACATGTTTAAAAAATCAAGTTCTTCAATCTTGACACCGGAAAAATCATGTAATCATTCTTTACTCTTTCAAGGGTCTTGTTGCAGATTAGTAACTTTTTCCTGTAACTAGCGTTACAGGATGGTGATAAAGTCAGAAGATGGAAACGAAATGCGGTCCTTCAATTTCAAGGATGAAGATGAAAGGTGCTTCTTGGCTTCCACTTTGATTCCACCGAGTATTTTGTTGCACAATCTTTCACTGGTTTAATTTACTGATTAAATTAAGATGAAGCAGTCAAGAGGTCCGTGCAGTGGAGAGGAGAATTTTACTAGAAACACTAGCAAATCAGCTACCATCAGATTCCGTTTCTTTCTCCTCAAGGCTGGTGAATATCCAAAGAGAGGAAAATGGAGAAACAAAGTTGCAACTTCAGGATGGTAGTGAGTTATCTGCAAAGGTAGCTTGACTTGCGTCCTTCTTTTCTTCAAATTGCTGCATCCCTTATTCGTCCTACAGTATCCAAAGGTCTGACATTTCACCAGGTGGTGATCGCCTGTGATGGAATCGGGTCTCCAGTGGCGAAGTGGATGGGATTTCCAGAGCCCAAATACGTTGGTCATTGTGCTTTTCGTGGCCTAGGATATTTTCCTGAAGGGCAGCCATTTAATCCCAGAGTCAACTATATCTATGGGAAAGGAATACGCGCTGCATATGTCCCAGTTTCTTCAACTAAGGTCTACTGGTTTGTCTGCTTCAACAGCTCATCTCCAGGTATACTGTGTACACATGGTTATTCTCAAGTCCACTTGTTTATCAGTCAAGTTGCTAATTCTTTACAAAATGAAGTTCTGATCATCAAGCAGGATGCTGATTTGTCTAGTCTAGCGGTGCCCCGCGCTAAAATGCTGAGTGCACACTTGTTCTGTTTTGAAACTAATGATCCCCTAAATCAGATTGAAATAAAGATTTAGTATAAAACAAATGCTCTTGAGATACTCAACTTAGCAAATTCTCCAGTTTTTAGGGACAACCAGTCTTTTCTCAAAAATTGCTTTAGTTGTTTCATTTGTACATGTGCAGGTCCAAAGATCACTGATACATCTCTGCTGAGGCAGCAAACTAATGAATTAGTTAGAAATTGGCCAGCAGATTTGTTGAACATAATAGATCTTACCCCTGATGACACAATCATAAGAACTCCATTGGTAGACAGATGGCTATGGCCAGTGGCAAGTCCTCCAGCGTCAACAGGAAAGGTTGTGCTGGTCGGCGATGCATGGCACCCAATGACACCCAACCTTGGACAAGGAGCATGCTGTGCATTAGAGGATGCAGTGGTTCTGGCTAAAAAGCTTGCAGAGGCTGTCAAATCAGAAGCCATGTCCATCGAAGAAGCATTCAGGTCTTATCAAGATGAGCGCTGGGGTCGTGTGTTCCCATTAACCATACGAGCAAATGTTGTGGGGACTCTATTGCAGTGGGATGATCCTCTGTGGTGCTTCGTGAGGAACAACATTGTTATCCCTAAGCTAGTTAGTCTTGGACCAGTGCTGGAACACACGAATTTTGAATTTGAGCCTCTATTAACTAACTGAAACATGCAAGAGGTGGCGAAATTTGGATGGGGCTTGAAATAGTGCACAAGATAGAACAGAATTCTTCTCATCATCGTATCTCAAATGTAAAGATACAATACATAGCTTAAGCTGCCACAAAAATATTTTCTTTAGCATCCTTTCATAGACAAAAACAAAATACTGTAATGCCTTCCACAACTTGAAAGTTAAATACAGACCTGTTTCTCTTGAAGGTCTGAAAGAATAATAGGAAGCAAGATCTCCTCCTCTTCGGAGGCAATAAATGGACGTGTGCTACTGAGAGCATTTACATTTGTCTTTCAAAAAAAGCCTAAATAGAGTAGAGTTCAGGTACAAAGTAACAGAAAGCATCCACTGTAAATGTCAAAATAATTCTTCGTACTGGACCATAAGACATGTTGATCGATGCAGAGAAGCAGTGAGACTTTTCCATGCTATCTAATAATATTGTGCTCTGCTGAACCTGTAGATTGGTTATCCAGAACTTCATCATCAGCAGATTGATTAACTGGATCTACGCCTTCTGTAGATTGGTTAGCTGGATTTAAATCTTCCTGCTTCAAGGTGGATTCCAAGCTACTCTTTCCATGGCCACGATCAACTCCACTCTTAATCAATGAACTTTCGATTCTGGCAACAACGGAATCACTTTTATTCACCAAATCAACTGCAGTACAGAGTATAAATCAAAACTCCGAATCCCATTGAGGCTTCTTTATCTTAAGATGAGTCATGAGGAACAAATAAATAAGCTAAAATTCATATCTAGTCTCAGTCAACAAATTCTTTAGTATTGACACACAAAACGGGAACAAGTGTGGACTACATAACTTAGAGAAACTTAGTTCGGTTTGTGCACAAGAATACCACATATACCAGCAATCTTACACCAAATATATCATTTTTTTGAAAATAGAATTTAGGACATGTTTCATAGAGAATCCCTTCTACATTGCAAAAAAACAGTAGATGCCACCAGGGAACACAATAAACTTTCAATCAACTAAAGTTTTAGTGGTCCAGCACTTTCTCCGCCATCATCACATAATGCACTTGCATCCAACAATCTTGCCATCCCAACCAACGCTCATATATTGAATTGATGAGATGTTCAAAGACAAACAACATAATGTTACTAAGAAGGCAGAAAACAGCAGTTCAAAAACGCCCCCATGTGATTATAGGCACACATATTTTGATTATTGTCTTTTCGCTACCTCTGGAATACTCCAGGTCCAGAAGATCATCGTAAAACTTGACTAAAATTACTAGCTGCGAAACAACAGAGAACAAAAGACACTTAAAAATTGGGGATCAAATTTATGCCTGAATAGTGTCCAGCAGAAAATATTATCAATGATAAGAAGGAAGAGTGAGAACTCCATTCTATCTGTAGGATATCAACAAACAAGAATGATAACAAAAAACCCATTGCATACAGCATCAGTAATATTCATGATAAGTAAAGGTTTTGCCTCTACTGGAATTGTTTCAAATACCTCACTACCCACTATAAAGATACAATTTTTGGTACATAGTTATACAGAAAAATATCAGAGGTGTTAAACAAAAGGCATAATTTCACCAAAAAATCCAAGATCCCTTTTTTGTTTTCTTTTTCCCCCGATCACAATTACAATGGCAGCTTGAATTACACAGCCTTGAGTACTTAAGATCTGATACACGAGTTCTCTTCCATGTTGAGCTCTGCTCTGCTGAAAGTCTCTGTTAGTATTATTCTCCGCAGGAGAATTGCTTGTAGTCCTGCAGTTTCGTCTTTCTTTAGCACCATATGTTGACATAGTGCAGTAATTTTATCAAGCTATCTTCTTATGTTACTTAATCAAATTTCCTTCGACTTCAGCACTAAAAAAATGAACCACATCTAAGTCATTAAATATTTTTTCCCAGTATCCACATTCAGAGTCCTAGATAATTGATCCTAGTCTCCAGATGACAAAAGCTTTCACTTCTAAGCGGAGTGGTAGTCTTTTAGGTTCAGATTCTCTTACCTCCGCCGTTGGATTTAGCCATACACAAATATTGGACATCACCTTCAAGTCAACTCTTATTGATCTTGATATCCTTAAATCCCCCGCCTAATCACCCAGCTATAAATTTTAGGAATTCAAAGAAACAGATCACTCTCCATTTCACAAAAGAAAAACTTAGCAGAACCAAGAACAGAGCAAATGGGATCGTCATAAAGAATGAGAAATTTCATGCTACCGAAAAATAAGGGAAAAAAAATATTAAGTACATTGATCAAAAGGGTAGCTGAGAAATGGGTAAAATGAATTACCAGGGCTAGAAAAAAACCACAAAACGATGGCACAGAGCACTAGCAAAACCGGGATGAGATGAATAGAATTTTCAGCAGATCTTAAACGACTTTTTTCTTTCTTGGCAAGGTGGGACATGGGATTGTAACTCGGCAAATGGTCCAAATCTGAAGTGGTTGTTGCTGGCTTAGGATTCGTGGAGGACATAGCTCCAGCTGCTGATGATGATGAAGAATTAGAAAAGAACTCGTCAGAGACCCGCGCGGAGCTCGACGAGCGATACATATTGATGATGATGATGATGAGATGTTTTGTGGGTTTCTTGGATTATTTTGTCGGACAGAACAAACTACAAAAGTTGGAATCACAAAGACTGGCTTCATTTGGATGGAGAGAAAAGGACAGAAAAGAAAGGATTCTGAGAGAAACCCGTACCGTTTCATTCATTTGGGAGTTCTAACATGGACAGAAGAGAAAAGAAAAGAACGGATAGGAGTCCCTCCAGCCGGTGAAAATTTTTCCGCCCAAAAGTGGGAAGAAAAGGACGGAAACAACTTGGGCTGCCAAAAGACATTTCTAATATGACAATTTTGTCCTTTAAAAGCTGAGACAAAAATTTATTATTCCCTTTATATCCTAAAATTCATTTGTAAAACCACCGTGCAAGGCTTTCTCAGCGCTTTACTTTCAATACTTGCAACTAGATTCACTTGGCTTTCTTCCGTTCAACACCCACAATTCAATACAAAAGGTATTTCTTCAACTCAATCTCTTCTTTCTTTCTTTCTTTGCTCAATCTTCTTTAGAGAATTATGAAAAAAGGATTTTTTTTTGTGTAGATTGTTATTGTTTATATTCTAAATTTTTTTGTTCATTTTCTTTCATAAAATTCTTGTCTGTGGGAAATCTTGATTTTTATATTATTGATTTGTGATTATATCTTGCATGGTTATGGTAAATGTAAGTTTCAGTGGTGATACATGAATTTGAAATTTAAATGCATACATTCTGTTTGTTTATTTGCCTGTGTAAGCTTCAAATTGTAAAATGATGAACACGGAGTGTTTGGCTGCATGTCAATATTTGTCAAAGTGTGGCCATGTAAACTTTTGTGTAATGTTTGTTAATTCTTCTGGACTAATTCTTTATGCTTGTCTAATGTTTGTTAATTTGAGGAAACTTTGCTAGTTCCAAAGCATCAACCATTTGCTCTGGCTAACATGCGCCTTTTAGTTCTCTACCTTACAAATAATTTGTCTAGTAAAATTGCTTCAACAACTATTGGAATGGATTTAAAGTGGAATTTTTCTCTTCTAAATGGAACTGGTTACCTTACAACTGCCGGACGTTCCAGCAAAATTGCTTGATGAATGTTTTAAGGCTCGATTTTGTTCTCCTTCAGTTTTATATGCAGGGAAGAAAATACTTTTGAAAATACTTTAACTGGTTACCTTATATGAGCATGTTATCATGTTCAAAATACTTTTGAAGATACAAGCTAGTTTTGGAAATTGAAGATGATTCCAATTACCCACTGGACATTTCATGTTTTGAAATTATGTAGATCATTGGATCCATATTTTTGCTTAGAAGTTGATAGAATTTCTTTTGTATCAAGAGTAAATGCTCATGTGGATTCGGAAATCTGAATGCTACAGGAAACCAAGTTGCATTCCATATAATCCTGGTTTATGTATATTTTGAGTTCACTTGGTTGCATTCCATTTTATTGAGTTCTCCTTATCTTGATAGTGACGCAGAGGCAGTTCGGCAAGATAATATATTGAAGCTTGAAGTTGCAGAGTTGAAGTCCAAATTTTGTGAGAGAACCCAAGCTCTCATCCATGGTGACCTTCATACAGGTCTATCATGGTTACTAGCAATTCTACTCAAGTTATAGATCCAGAATTTTCTTTCTGCGCGCCGATGGGATTTGATGTTGGAGCTCTTATTGGAAACTTAATCCTGGCTTATTTTGCACAAGATGAACATGCAAATGAGGGAAATGACAGAAAGGAATATAAGCTGTGGATATTGAAAACTATAGAAGAGACGTGGAATATTTTTTATAAAAAGTTTACTGCTTTCTGGGATGAACACAAGGATGGCCCTGGTGAGGCATATCTGCCTGAAATTTTTAATAATGCAGAAATTCATCTGTTGGCAAAACAGAAATATATGGAAGATCTGTTCCATGACAGTCTTGGATTTGGTGCTGAAAAAATGACAAGGAGAATTGTTGGGGTGGCTCATGTTGAAGACTTCGAATCAATAGCTGAGCCAGAGAAACGTGCGAATTATGAACGGCAAGCTCTCACCTTTGCAAATTTGCTTCTGAAAGAAAGACGAAGCTTCAAGAGCATTGGTGAAGTTGTGTCCGCCGTTCAGCAGTCTAAATCATGAGAAACTCCTCAAATTTATGATTTTAAATATTGCAAGGATAATTGAGTTAAATTGTGATATACAGTAATAACTCCAAAGGACAAGCAGAATGTATTCAAGGGTAATAAGAGATTTCTTAAGTTTTGTGTCCCAAAAAAAAATTTAAAAAAAATAAAAATTGAAAGGGCAAATATGTAAAGTTGCACTCTCATAAAATCCTTTCTTTTCATATCTCTCCAACTCTCAAATAAGGGAAAGATGTTTCTTTTCTTTTCTTTCATTGAACTCCCAAACGAAATATGCATCTTTTCTCTTCTTTTCCTTTCTTTTCTAAGTTATCTTTTCTCTTCTCTTCTCTTCCTTCATCTACTCCCAAACTAAGCCTATACGTTGGAGGGAAGGAAAGAGCTGGGAAAGACGGGGAGTTTCCTCGTTTGTGCCTCCGTGGCGTCCAGGAAAGAGTCGGCTGTCGAGAGGGAAGAATCTTTGGCCGATTATTTGGACTCCGCGATTTCACGCGGACAGGGTTGAGAAATGTCGGCGACTTTTAGCTGGTCAAAAAGACTACTTATAATAGTTAGTAATTGATAAGCTTGCCGAATTGAACTCTTTTTGCATTCTTCTTGGAAGCCGATTTGAACAAAACTTCGTGGAGTTTGCAATTAGACTTACAAAGTATATAAAACCCACAAAGCAGAATGTCTATCAGAACCGATACAACTTTCAATTGGTCACACTGCTCTCTTCAATTCAAACTACGGAATTTTAGATATTGGTTTCTAATAAAGTGGTCAGGAGAAGTTTATTTTTACTTGGTGCTCAATTGCTTCTGCGAATTAGAAAAGAAATGTCTGCGAATTTTTCTTGTTTCAGCTCTTAACAGGCTAAACTAGTAGTAGTTAATTGAATTGCAAATGCTTTGTGGCACTTTTCTGCTGCAACACAATTCCAGACTGCAAGCACATATTCTACAAACTAGAAACTGGACTATCGCGGATTTAGGGCCTCCACAATTGCAATTTTTCAATTCTCATTAGTAATTGCATTATAAAACGTGTGCTCTAACGCCACAAATAGAGATACTAATAATAAGTATAAATATTAACACAACAAAGTATCAGTATATAACTTTTGATGGGAAGATCCATAAAGTATGGCATGTATGTGAATTGTGATGTAGGCAGCTGTGATACTAAAGCAATATCCAAAGAAAAAAAAAAAATTAACGTACAAGTGTTTGATTAGACCAACACAAGTTTACTCAATTGATAAGTTTAGTCAATTGATAAGAACAGATCATTTTTTTTACAAAAAATGTCGTATATTTATTGATATGATTTCGAGAATATATTCTGAACTATAGTGTTAATCAAAGTCGAATCCACTCAAATCTTTTTTTTCTTTACTAAAAAAATAAAGTGTCTAACTGACTCTCTATCATAATTTATCGAAAAATGTAAGAGAAGTACGGTGCACGACCAAACATGAAACTTCTCATTGTGTTTCTTCCACATAAACCATCACCTTAATTAATCATTGTACTGTACTAATACAATTTGATCAAACTTAAATGAAAATCTTCTTACCAAAAAAAATTTAAAAGACAAAAATTATAAAATGGGCCAAACCCCAAATCCCAAAATCGTAATTGGCTGACAAGTGCTTGACACGTTTAGAGCACCCCATGAATTTGCCACGTCATTTCCCCATCTCCACAGTACGTGCAATTTAGCCTCCTTTTAATACTAAGACAAATCCTCCTCTCTCTCATTTCCCCGTTCTCTTCCTTTCACAACTCTCTCTTCCAATCCTTCTCTGAGACGACGTGTACGAAGCTCCCGTTAAATTCTCGCCGGGAAACGCAAAAACCCATCTACCCTTTTGGCTCCTCTCTTATCTCTTCGTGAAAGTATCGATCCCGGAATTCTTTTTGTCCATATAGCGTCATAATGAATCCAGAATAGTAAGTTTTTTCTGATATTCTTTTGTTGGGTCAAAATTTTAGACCCTTTTGAATTCTGAATTCAAGATTGAATTTTGACGTTCATTCTCGGAACCCTTTTAGATTTTGGTGATAGATTTAATAGTTCATTTAGATCCGTTGTGATTTTTCTCTATAACCTCTTGAACGAGTATTCCTTGGTTGGTTGATGATACATGCTTTCAGATAAGGGATTGGGGATCTATTTTTTTCTGCTGATGTTGGTTGATCCGAGAACTAGATCGTTTTGACAAGGATGAGGATCTTTTTTATAGTTCTTAGAATCTGAACCTAGAAAATTGTTGCAATAACTGTAATTAAATTCCTGATTGGACAAAGAGAGTACTAAAATATTGAGCTGAATAATTGATTGATATGTATGATCACATAGGTTCTATTTTCAAATATGTTGAGATATTGTTTGAATCTAACCGTGTTAATCTAACCGGATTATGGATGAAATAGTTTCCGTTAATTTATTCAGCTTTGGTATCGATGCCTTTCCTTATCGTTGTTAGTTGTGTTAGGAGAAACAGCAAATTTCAAGCATTTGGAACTTTGTGATTGTGGCTGAAACGACAACTAGAATATAATCTCTGCCTGGTTGAGAGGTGGATGTCGATCTTGTCCTTTTGGTAACTAGTTGGTCTAGGCTGTAGCAGTTGGAATTATAACTTAAGGTTGATTTGTTTACCAATGAAACTGTGTGCTGTTATGAGACTTTTTTCTTTGTCAGTTGTCATTAATCATGCTGCAAGCTTCACTGGTGGTGAAGATGTTGATCACATATCAGATTGGCCTTCTAATTTCATGTAACATGTTTCTTGCCATTTCAACTTGGTTATTCATGATGATATAAGTGATGGTAGTGTAAGGATCATTTCTGTTCAGGGAGAAGAAAATCGTATTGCTGCATAGGCCTAGACCTCAGAACTATATGCAATTTGATGCACTTAAACCAGTAGTAATCATCATGTTGCTTGTGCCACTCACGTGATACTGAAAGACATTGAAAATTTCTGTAGTTGATGAGCTTTCTCGCTTGATACTATCTAGTATATGAGATTTCTGGATGGCATATTTAATAATATGTGAAATTATTGGCTAATATTTTCTTGTACTTTTCATATGAGGTGGAAATGTTTTTTTCAAAAGTTGGATTTTTTTTCTTTCTAGAACCTTAAGTTGACTACTTACCATAACTTTCATGTTTCAGCGACTATCTTTTTAAGCTTTTGCTCATTGGAGACTCTGGCGTTGGCAAATCATGTCTGCTCTTGAGGTTTGCTGTAAGTTCTTCATTTTTCATGTGGTTCAAATGCTTTCTCTGTGTCAGATTTTTGAATCTGTTGCTTCTTTCTTCCTCCTTAAATCTAGTTTTTTGTCCAATTTTCTGTTGCTTTGTTGGCACATGAAACAGTTAAGAGAGACAAATTGTTCATAATAGCTAGGTGGATAGCATCCTCCTTTTTTGGTTTTCACCATTTCAGTCGGGGAATGGGTGCTTGCTTGGTTATGTGCTGTTGGCTAACTCTGGAAATCCATGGGCTACTGATTAGTGCTGACTGCGTATAAAAAATGTCATTTTCTTGTGAGCCGACTTTATAGATTGTATAGCCTATAAGTTTTCATACCAAAAAATCCGGAGCTAAATATGAAACAAGAGTTATGAAATAGATAAAGACAGTTAAATTCTTTTTGTGATGGAAAAAATAACTGCCGTTTTTGCACAGCATTTTTGATATTTCAAAAACATTAGGTTGTCTGTCATAATTTTGCCACTCAAACAAGAGAAATGTTTCTCTATGTTGCTGCTAACACAAGTTGTCTTTGTTTTCAGGATGATTCATATCTGGAGAGTTATATTAGTACCATCGGGGTGGATTTTGTAAGTAGTCGGCCTGCCTTATTGTTTTGCTTGGCTTTCTTGTCAGATGTCAGTGTGGTTTATAGTTCCTTTTCCTTCACCTTGTAGAAAATCCGCACAGTAGAGCAGGATGGGAAAACCATTAAACTCCAAATTGTGAGTATCTAAACAACTGTTTCTTATGTTTGAAAGATATTGTTGTTCTTATCACATCTAGATATTTAATGATTATATTAGTATGATGGTAAAGAAGACGATGCGAAATGAGGAAAATAACTTGATTACAGTTGATGAAGAATTTATCCGGTTATCTTTTTGGTATTAGACTCCAAATGTCTGGCTTTTTACTTCCGTAGAACTTTCTTCCCCCTTTGGTTTTAGCTTCCTTTCTCATCTGATGCCTTTTTGGTTATCTGGTTATCTTTTTGGTATTAGACTCCAAATGTGTGGCTTTTTACTTCCGTAGAACTTTCTTCCCCCTTTGGTTTTAGCTTCCTTTCTCATCTGATGCCTTTTACCCCCTCTGTGGTTCAGTGGGACACTGCTGGGCAAGAACGTTTTAGGACAATTACAAGCAGCTATTATCGTGGCGCTCATGGTATCATTGTGAGTAACTTATTTCTGAGAAGTTGCAATATGTGTTGCTCTTTTTTTACCGTGTCCTTGCAGTGATTTACAAGTTCCTGTTTGCACTTATGCAGGTGGTTTATGATGTCACCGATCAAGAAAGCTTTAATAACGTAAAGCAATGGCTGAATGAAATTGACCGATATGCAAGTGAGAATGTAAACAAGCTTTTGGTTGGGAACAAGTGTGATCTTGAATCTCAAAGGGTAGTGGCATATGATACAGCCAAGGTACATCATACTGAACCCTGTAATGTAGAACTTTTGATACTTTTGATAGGATAGTTTCTTATATGGTGGAAAGTTCTGGGACGTGTTTTTGCTTAATACTGTGGTACCAAATAATCTAACTCTCAGGTTTCTTTTGGATCAGTTGTGCTAATGTTGCATATACTCTCCTCTCGTTTTTCAGGCTTTTGCAGACGAAATTGGGATTCCTTTCATGGAAACAAGTGCAAAAAGTTCCACCAATGTTGAACAGGCTTTTATGGCAATGGCTGCCGAGATCAAGAATAGGTACTGAATGTTGTTGTGCGTTAGAAAAATCAATAGTTTTCGGTTTCATTGATCAGTAAATCTTAATCGCATATGTAATTCCTTGTGGCTCTCTTAATGGTTTTTTAGGATGGCAAGCCAACCCGCAATGAACAATGCCCGACCACCTACCGTACAAATTCGAGGACAGCCTGTAAACCAAAAGTCTGGTTGCTGCTCCACCTGAAGAAAATAGTTGGATTAACTGATGATGATGAAGCCTATGCTTGTGTTCTCCATGGGGTGTAAAATTACTCGCCGTTCGCAGGATTGCTTATTTGATATTGTTGTTTCAGAACTATGCTAAAACATTCATTCTTTTTACTGTATTTGATGTTAAAGTAAACATTTGTACAAATTAGGAAAATATTGGTTAATAGCAATATTTACTTTCATTACCTTGGCCTCCTTTGCAAATCTCGTAATTGAAGTTGTTACATTACTGCATAATCATCCTCTTTTTACTTGCATCGACAGTAAATGCCCCTTAAACCAGCTTGTTCATGCAGACACCGTTTCTTGCCTCCGCTATTTTGATGTCTAGTCATCATATCGTCCTCTTTCGTTTTAAATTTTTCCCATTTTACCAAATTGATTCGAGGAAATGAGTCATTTCAATCGTTAAAAAAATATGTTCATGCTGATGAGCTTAGGTCAAAGATCTTAGTGCAACTGACATGGATACATCGAGCCACAAGGAGTTAGTTATCGGGTCAATACTGAAATGTGAAAGGAAGACATCTTAATGTTGATGCAAGGATGGGCTTGTAAATGCATTACAATCCAATGACAACAGCAGATCCTCCATCCACACAACATGGAAGATTCCGAAATAAAGGCCACTTGAAACCCGTGCATCGTTTCTAGCGAGAGCACCCAGCGGCCTCACGATCACTTGAACGCAGTGCAGCCATTGATCAGGTCGTGCTTTCCAAAGAAATGGTTCTTACAAATTCCTCACCAAGTCATCTCGTGCATGTTGCTGCCAAATCTTTCTACCTGCTGGGCCCATTACTGAATAGGAATGTTCTACATGGTTCATTCTTTCAAGAAGTTCGACTTGCCAATGATTCGCTTCGGGATTAGGGTCTCCTTTTGTAGCTTCCGTAGAAGATTCTACCAGTAATCACGACAAGAGCACATTCCATCTTTAAAATGGTGAAACCTTGTAGTATCTCTCACAATGATCTCCCTTGGTTCTATTGCAGATATGAATTTAGTTGCTTGGTGGCAATCATCGCATACTCTCAGGTTCTTGAATATCCGGATTGGTTCACCGGGTGGCAAACTTATTAGCCCATATGCGATAGCCAGTTTTTCACTGTGCAACAAAAGTATCTGCTCTTTCTGCTGCTTTTCCACATCATGCAAATCAGACTCGAGATTAGGAACATAACCTGCCAACTTCATTTTCTTCTCTAGCTCATTCAGTTTCTCATGTATGCTATCCAATTCTGGGTGAAGCCTATCTCCAGATCTAAACTCATGAACCACATTTTTTATTTCCATCCAACTATATCCTGGCGTTTTTATTACTTTATTTTCCTTCATCAGTCTTCTAACTATAGAAACATTCTCCCATCTATTATTAGCAGCATATAGGTTTGCAAGTTGAACATAAGCAGCTGCATTAGTAGGATCAAGACTAAGCAAGTTTTTCCCAGCAAACTCAGCCACCTCCAAGTTCTTGTAGATCCTACAAGCACCTAAAAGGGTTCCAAATACAGCCATATGAGGTCTACAAGACATTCTCTTTATTAAATCCATGGCTTCAGCAAGCTTTCCAGCTCGACTAAGGAGGTCAACCATACAAGTGTAGTGATCTGGTTGAGGTTTAACTCCATAATCCTTCTGCATCAACTCAAAATACTGAATCCCAAGATCAACTAAACCTGCATGATTACAAGCTGTTAGAACTCCAACAAAGGTTATCCAATCTGGTCTCATTCCTCCTTTATTTCTCATCCTTGAAAACAAACTAAGAGCCTTTTCTCCCGCCCCATGTTGAGCATAGCCTGAAATCATTGCATTCCAAGTCACAACATCTTTCCGTGGCATCTCAAGAAACAACTTCCATGCATCCTCTAAATCACCACACTTGCAATACATGCTAATCAGTGAAGTTCCCACTGTAATATCCAAATACAAAGGAGACTTAAAAACACGCTGATGAACTTGCTTCCCCAACTTCAAAAAGGACAAGTTACTACATCCCAACAAAATACTACTCAAGGTTGATTCGTTAACCCTAATTCCCAATTCCAGCATTGTCCTAAACAACTTCAATCCGTCTTCCCCTCTACCATTTTCAACATATCCAGAAATCATAGCATTCCAAGTCACTAAATTCTTCACTGGCATCTCTAGAAACATCTTCTCTGCAAAAGCAACCTTCCCAGACCTCATGAACCCTGTTACAATCGCTGTGTATGCAATCACATCTTTCGCAGGGTTAGCCTGGAACATCTCCAAAGCTAATTCAACATTCCCTGACTCAACATATCCCGCAATCATAGCGTTCCAAGTCACATTATTCTTCCGAGGCATGGCCAAAAACAAATTCTTAGCTTCACTCATCATCCCATTTCGCGAAAAGCCTGCTATCATCGTATTCCAAGTTGCAACATCTTTACAAGGAATATGAGAAAACAAATTCCTAGCTGCCTCCAATTCACCATTTTGTAAATAACAAGCCAACATTATATTATACGAGACAGTATCTGGTTCAGGAATTTTTTCAAACAATTGCTGGGCTTCCATCAATTTTCCGGGTTTTCTTGAAAATCCAGCCAAGATTGAGTTCCATGTGATGGTAGTCCTAAAAGCCATCTTATAAAATAATTTAAGGGCTGAATCCAAATCCCCGCATCGTACAAAACTGGTAATTTTCTTGTTCATTGAGACGGCGTAATTCATTTGACGCTGATCACGTGTTGCTAAGTTACTGGGGGGAACCAAGTGGTACTTGTGACGTGGGGCTGGTGAAGGAGTGGACTGCAACGTTTTGGGTTTTGGGAAAGCATCTGAGTTTTCGACTGCTGGCGAGTAGGAAGAAGAGAAGTACCTGAAGAAGATGAACCGGGGGAAAGTTCTGAAGAAGGGAAAGGAAAATGGTTCATTTCTGATTCTAAGATGAGGAGACCGCATTTGTCATGGTTGGTGTTTACGGAACCGCACTTCTACAGCTCCTGAAGAAACTTTTCTTAACAGGCAGAGGAAATCTTTCGAGGGCCATATTACATTCTGTTAAAAAGTAAGGGGCGAAGAACGACTTTTTTTTGGAGGGATAAATTGTCAAGCAAACTCTCTCCAAATATGGACAGAAATGGAAGGAAAGTGAACAAACCTTCAACCCATTTTTTTTCTTTCTAAATGCCAAATATGTCCATAATCTGGTAATGAATAAATAGTTAATACCCAACGTGTTTGAGTTCATTCTATTTCTTTCTTACATTCCCAAACAATTTAAAAATCTCTTTCTGTCTTTTCTCTCGTCATTTAAAACTTCCTTTTCCTTTCTTTTCTCTTCAAAACTCCCAAGCTAAACCTTAGGTGTACTAACAAGTGTTTTAGTGAATGGCTGTTGAAAATTCATTCATTTCAAGGACTCAATGTTACTATCCACCTCCTTAATTATACACTTCCCCAAAGTTTTATGCTGTTGCTTAAAAAGATATAAAAATCCTGTTGTCTGACCACTATTGAGTTTTTTTTTTTCAAGTTACAGAGAAGTAGAGAGTGGGATGAAAATCTTGTCAAAAGTCTAAAAAGAGCATGCCCATACGTGCTTTCAATTTCCTTTACTGGCAATTTTCTGGAGTCTACCACCAATGTCAAATATCTTGTCCAGAAGGATAAATTCCAACTAGAAGTGAACTTTTATTTGCCTTTTATTTCTGCAAAATTTTCTCAATCTGCATAATAAATTTTTGTCAGGAAAAATTATTTCGAAGCTGAATGACCCGAAATAATTTGCTCATTCTGTAATGTATATTAGACGAAATTGATCCATTCAGCCAACATTCAATTGCGAGTAACAAACCATAAATTCTGATCAAATAACCTAAATTGAAAGATCTAAAACATTGTCAACACTTGCAAGACAGGCCATATTTCAGATCAAAATGAAGTTCAAGCAGAAGCATCTCTACATGGAAGCCAATACTCAATAGAAGCAATTGATCAAGCAAGATGCAAAAGCATGTCTACATAGAAGCCAATACACCACAGGAGCAATTGATCGAGCAAGAAGCAAACACAGACCGGTCTAAGTCCAGGGAGAAGAAATATGTACTAGGGTTAATTTCTACCAAGATAACCGGAAACAAACAAATTCTAAAATAGGGACCAACAGAACAGAAACTGATAATCAGCTAAAGGCTTCAACTAGGAAAAAGCAAAACTGTTTCCATAACTCCAAATCAAAACTGATCCATCATCAAAATATAAAATTTGGACCCTAGTGCCCTAAATATGCCAAAAAAAAAAAAGTGTAACCATGCTGGTCAAAGGACTAGACCCAAGGGAATAAACCCCGGGAAGACATCTAAATTTACACTCTTTAAAAGGTTGTAAAATTCTTCAACAATTTTAGTACAGGAGCACGTCATTTGTGAAAATATCCCGCCAAAAGCGAGCCACCCAAAATCATGAGAATAGGAAGAATAAAAGCTCAGGCAGGCCCTGCTCCCTTAGTTTCCGCCCAAAGAAGGAAACTGCCCGACATCTGCAATGGAAGGAGCTTCAACGTTGTATGAGTTGTTTCCATATCCTCCCCTACCACGGCCACGTCCCCTTCCACGGCCACCAGGACGATAATAATTTTCACCCTCAGCAGGCTTCAGGAATTCATTTATGCTTACAGCCTGCAAATTATGCAAGAAAAGAGGATAAGATGTAAGAAACAAATAACAAGCTGCAAAACAATCATATTGAACCTCGAGAAAGAATTAAAATATGTGAAATCAATAGTTATTTACTTGCTAATCCAATCAAGTCATCAAGCCCTTTCAGATGTGGAACATGAAAAGAGAGTGGCTCCTCACATCTTACAAGTTTTGACCAAAAAAAGCAGGTGCACAGTAAATTTCAAAAGCATGGGCGGTGGATATGTTTGACAAAATGACAAGGCACAATAAACAAATAGTCAGTCCCAGATGATTCGAGGCAGTTGCGTGACATAAGAATAGTAGATAAGCTCCACATCATGAAAACTCTTAACACATTGTCTATTGAAATACTCAAGGCAGTTTACAACCAAACAATTGTATGTACATCTTGGTTCTCATACTCCAATTCTTTGTAGCTTTAGCAGTATATTATTAATTAGCTGCATTTTGCTAAAAGCTTTAACAAAGAAACATGTACATGTAAATTTTACACATTTACTTCTTTTAACTTCCAAGA